TCCGCAGTTTTCATTGGTGTCGCCCGGGCCCCCAGGGCCCGCCAATCCGGAAGCAGGAAACGCAGCGCCTGCGCGAGCCGCTGGACGGCGAGTCGGAGGGACCGGGAGGGCTGGGGGCGGGGACCGGGGGTAAGGGCGCCCCGACTCTCGTTAGCGGGTCGCGTGCTGATAGCACGGGTGCGGCCCTTATCAGCCAGCACCGGCTCCTCCCTCGCTTTCTCTCGGCCCCCTCCTGGGTGGGCCCTGCGCCCCGGGTGCCCCGAAAGCAGTCAGCGGCCGGGGCTGGAGCGCGCATCCCGCGCAGCTTCCGGAGAGAGGGATCCCCTGGCCAGCCTGTCCGCGTCGCCGCTCTCCCCCAGGTCCCAATGGGCCGGACCGTGGTCGTGCTGGGCGGAGGCATCAGCGGCTTGGCCGCCAGTTACTACCTGAGCCGGGCCCCCTGTCCCCCCAAGGTGAGTGGCAGCAGGAGCTTCCTCTACAGCCTCCTCCGGTTCCAGCAGAAGGCCGCCCCAGACCCTTCCCCCGGGCTGAGGCCGCGCCGCCGCGTGTACCCCTGGCCCGCAGGTGGTCCTGGTGGAGGGCAGCGAGCATCTGGGAGGCTGGATCCGCTCCTTGCGCGGCCCAGACGGCGCTGTCTTTGAACTTGGACCTCGAGGAATTCGGCCAGCAGGAGCGCTGGGCGCTCGGACCCTGCTCCTGGTGAGCGGCTGTGGACGGCGAGGCTGGGCGGCGTCCCTAGGGGACAGTGGTGGGGGAGGAAGCGTGTTTGGTGGTCGGTTCGCTCTTAGCTTCTCCTCTGTCCGAGGACGTGTGGGGAGCAGGTGTCTGAGCTCGGCCTGGACTCCGAAGTGCTGCCCGTCCGGGGGGACCACCCTGCGGCCCGGAACCGGTTCCTGTACGTGGGCGGCGCCCTGCACGCGCTGCCCTCCGGCTTCAGGTCCAGCCACCACCCCGCACCGCGCAGCCCTCTTTGCCCCAGCCTCACCCCACCCCATCCCCGCCCCCCACCCCGTTTCCAGTCTGCCAGCCTTCCCCTAGGGAAAGGGGCCGAACTAGTGGCATGGGCCCCTCCTCACTGTTCCCTCCTCCGTGCAGGGGGCTACTCCGCCCTGTGCCTCCCTTCTCCAAACCTCTGTTTTGGGCTGGGCTGAAGGAGCTGACTGCACCCCGGGGCAAAGACCCTGACGAGACTGTGCACAGTTTTGCTGAGCGCCGCCTTGGACCTGAGGTGACACTGCCCGGGGGCCCCCAGTCCTTCCCTCCTAGACCAGCTGCAGGGCCCCTACTCCACCCTGGCACCTGGGGCTCTTCTGTGTATTTGGGAATGGCCTCTTCCTCTTCATACCCAGTAGTCCCCAAAACTCGGGGTTGGGGGTGCTTCTGTGACAGTGAGACTGCTCCCCAGCCCAGATGCTCCCCTCTGCCCTCGCTCCTGAGCAGGGCGGGGGCAGCTTGTTCCTTGGCCTCTCAGTGCCATTCTCACCCCCCAGGTGGCGTCTCTCGCCATGGACAGCCTCTGCCGTGGAGTATTTGCAGGCGACAGCCGGGAGCTCAGCATCCGCTCTTGCTTTCCCAGTCTCTTCCAGGCGGAGCAAAGCCATGGCTCCGTGTTACTGGGGCTGCTGCTGGGGGCAGGTGAGGGCAGCACTGGCACAAAGGCGCGGATGTGGAGGACGTGCCCGCTGAGGGGCTGGAGGCAGGGGCTCCTTTCATTCTTCTCTGCTTCCTGCTATGCAGGGCGGAGCCCACAGCCCGACTCAGCCATCATTCGCCAGGCCAGAGCTGAGCGCTGGAGCCAGTGGTCACTCCGTGGAGGACTGGAGAGGTTGCCTCAGGCACTTCACAGCCACCTGACTCGTAGGGGGATCAGTGTTCTCAGAGGCCAGCCAGTCTGTGGGCTCAGCCTCCAGGCAGGAGGGCACTGGAAGGTAAGAGAGCCCCCTGGCATGGAATAAGCGTGGGTTCCAGTTTCCATCTTTGCCTAAATGCTGTAACATGCCAGGGCTGGCGGGACTGGGGGCAGGTGAGGGCAGCACTGGCCTAGGAGCTATGTAAATATGGGCTGCCCTGGGTCTTAGGCCCCATTTGTGGACCTTGCTCCAGGACTCATTTGATCCAAGTCTGTAGACCGAGGTAGTACTTACAAGTGGCCGAGAGGCCGGGGGAGGAACAACCCAGCTGCAGTAAACGTTCCAGAGCGGACACTGGCCTGTCTGGCCCACTTCCTAGAGTAAGAGGGGTGATTTGGGGCTAACTACAGTCACTCTCTATCCTGGACAGCACCCAGTCTCTCCTGCCACTTAGGTGCTCGGGAACCTGAAGCAAAATCCCCATTTGGTCTGTCTCCTGTGTCTCCATCTCTCAGGTGTCTCTAGCGGACTGCAGCCTGGAGGCTGACCATGTCGTCAGTGCTATTCCAGCTTCAGGTAATGGGCTCGCCACCCCCACCTTCCCCAGCCAGGGCGAGGCATGCTGGAGGCACTGGACCAGCAGGACCGTCCCCTGCCCCTGAGCTGGTCCCCTGCAGGAGGCTAGTGTCGGGAAGGGCTGGTGACTAGCCTGCCTCTGCCTGCTCCCCCAGCGCTCGGCGCGCTGCTGCCTGCCGAGGCCTCACCACTGGCCGAAGTCCTGAGAACCATCCGAGCGGTGTCTGTGGCTGTGGTGAATCTGCAGTACCGCGGAGCTCGTCTGCCTGTCCAGGTGACACCGCGGAAGGGGAGACGCGGGCTCAAGTTCACGCCTCCCGGCTGAACCCATCCCTTCCTTTTGTCCAGGGGTTTGGACACTTGGTGCCGTCCTCGGAAGACCCAGGCGTCCTGGGGATCGTCTACGACTCAGTTGCTTTCCCTGAGCAGGATGGCAGCGCCCCCAGCCTCAGAGTGACTGTGAGGAGGCAGCTTGGCCCAGTGGGGGTTCCAGAGAGGTCCCCTGTGGCCCGGTGTTGGGGGCCATGCTGCTCAGTGCCACATGCTCCCCCAGGTGATGCTGGGAGGTTCCTGGTTACAGACGCTCGAACCCGGAGGCTCCGGCCTATCCCGGGACCTGCTCCAACGCCAGGCACAGGAAGCAGCTGCCACACAATTAGGACTGAAGGGGCCACCAAGTCATTGCTTGGTTCATCTACACAGGGTGAGCTGTGACAAATGCCCTTCAGCTCCCCACCAAAGGCCTTGAAGGCAGGGACTGGTATTTTTATTGTCCACCAAGGCCTGGGATATCAATAATAAAATTTTCCCTTTATCTCCTCGTCTCTCCCCAGAACTGCATCCCCCAGTATACACTAGGCCACTGGAAAAAACTGGGTAAGTTGGGAAAGCAGCTGGACTGACGAGGGCCAAGGAAATTTGCCACCAACTCTAACGTTCCTTTTCCCATCTTTCCAGAGTCAGCCACCCAGTTCCTGGCTGCTCACAGACTGCCCCTGACTCTGGCCGGAGCTTCCTATTGGGGGGTCGCTGTCAATGACTGTATAGAGAGTGGACGCCAGGCAGCAGCCCAGGTCCTGGGCTCAGCACCCCATAGCTGATCCCCACTCCCAGCACCTGCCTGCTGGCGGGGAGTCTCTCACCCATGACAATAAAAGTTGCTGGAGGTTGGCCTGGTCTGGACCACTCTGTCAGCTCTGGGCGGGAGCGGGAGGTACGGAGACAGGCAAAGGGTGCCTGGGGTGCGGAGAGCAGGAACAGAGATGAGACAAAGTCCTTTATTAGAAAACATATCAAAATCCCAGCCCCCGGAGCCAGGTCCAGAAGAGGGGGCCACCTCAGAACTGGCAGGAAGTACCTAGGGAGAGGCTCACTTCACCAACACACTTCCTGGTATCCATAAATAGAATAAATATTCACAGGGGTCCTGGGAGAAGCCAGATTGCTCTTCTCTCCATGGAAGAGGAAGGGACTTGGGGTCCAGCCCTGCTCCCACCCCAGGGGCAGGGGACTCCCAGGAGTCATCACATAAAATCATGACATCAAGGATTCACAGTCGTAAGCCCTGGCAGGTGACCCTAGAAAGAGGGACCCCTGGGTCGAGAGGAGCCCGGCTCCGGTCCAGCATGAGGAAGCCGCTGCCCCCAGCCCAGCTCCTGTGAGCTCCCCGCAGCTGGGGGCAGCAGGGGTGGGGAGAGGACACAGCCCCTCTGGTTCAGCTTCATGATTAAGGGGGCAGGAAGGAGGTGTCAGTGTGACCCGTGGGGGGCTGTGTGGTTGGCAGTGGGCAGAGGGCCAGGCCTGGCTGGGGGCCGGCGCTGCAGCATCTCTTGACGGAAGGCCTGGGAGGAACCAGGAGGGTAACGGGGACCAGAGGGAGTCCGGGGACCCCGAGGGTCAGTTCCGATGTCTGCCGTGACATTGGTATAGAGAGGGCCCCGTTCTCGGGCCAGCAGTCGGTATGTCAGTGAGTTCATCCCATCTTGAGTCCAGGAATTCTGGGTCCGGACGAGGAGGTCAAATCTGACAGTAAGTGGTTAGAGGTTAGAGACTAAGACCCGGAAAGGGACCTGGGAGCTTTAGGGTTTTCTGGGCCGGAAGGCAGAGCGCTGAGGGCCCAGTGATGCCCCCGAGCTACCCTCGCCTCCCACCTGTGCGGGTTCTCCTCGTTGCCCTTGTCTGCCCGGTGCTTCACCATCTTGTAGTGCCCCACAGATGTGGGGGGGCGGGAGATCTTCATGCCAGCCAGGCGGACCCTGTGGGAGAAGTGACGGCACCTTGGAGGATCGAGGGTGGAGGAAAGCTGCTGGCAGGTGCACCAGCAGAGCTAAGGCCAGCAAGGGAGGGACCGCACGACTCCGTACACAAAGAACCGTCCCCAGTTAGGCAAGAAAGCCAACTATTTCTAGTCTGTGACAAGTACGAGAAGGGGAAGGTCACCCCAAAAGGAGGAAATGGCTGAAGAGAAGTAAAAGCTGACGCCTCCAGACCCTCAGGGCCCCGTGCCAGGTACCTCGGGCCCTTCGGAAATTGGCGGAGGTAGCTTCGCACCTTCCACCTTGGCTCCCTAAGGGGCTCCCAGGAGCAGCCCTGAGGTCTAAGTAACAGGAAGGGAGCTGCAAACGCGAACTCAGCAGTTCTCATCTAGGAGAGCGGTGAGCGCCTTGACTCCACCCTGCACCCCTGCACCCCCGCCCCACCCCAGTGTTAGAAAAGGGCGGAACCAGCTAATTAGGACCTGCAAAGAAAGAAACCACATTGCTAACACACACAAGCAGGAAGTGAAGATGGCCTGGGAAGGTCCTGGAAGAATGCGATTAGAAATTGCTTGGTGCTTTGCACAGAGGACAAGAATTCAGAGCTGCCATCCCAGAGGACACAAGGGGCAGGGCAGGCAGCGGACCTGGTATATCAAGCCCAGATATTCACACCATAGCTATGACATTGGGTCAGCCGAGGCTGAAGGTCAAAACGCTTCACGTGCTAAAATGAGCTGGCATCATTCCAATGGCGTAAGCTTTGATAAAAAGTGACTCTGGGCCGTGTGGGCGCCTCCTGCCCCAGCCCCTGAGCGAGCGGTCTGGAGGCGACCCTAGTAGAAGGCAGGACTAAACCGAGTCCAGGCCCCGCGCCAGCTCCGGCATCCCATAACGCTCCAGCCTGTTGATCGAGCAGACTAGAGGGTGGCAGATGGGAGCAGCTATGGCCAGGGGGGCCCTAGCGGACAGGGGACCAAGTGAGCGGGGAGAAGGAAGGCAGCGGCAAGCAGTCTGACCTGGCGGCAATGTCGTCATCCTCACCGCCCCAGCCCCAGTATTCATTGGGGAAGCCATTCATCTTCAGGTACTGGTCGGGAGTGAGCGCCGAGACCCCTCCAAAGTACTGGGGGTACGGGAGGCTAGGGAGAAAAAGACCCTTGGGTCCCACACGTCTCCCGGGACCCACAATCCCTACCCACAATCCCTCGGCTCGCCTCTTTCTGCTGGGTGGTGGTCTCCCTGCTTCCCATGCCCTCTCGTGCCTTCTACCTGTATCCAAACTTGTTCATGGCGACAGCAACGTGCCGGGGCCCCCGGGGGTCGCACACATACAGGTTGTGGTCATTCTCCGGCAAGAGGTCCACGTCGTGCAGGAACAGGCAGTCCCACTCTTCGTCACGCAGGGCCTCGCGCACCCCAACATTCAGCAGCTTTGCCCTGTTGAACGTTCCGTGGCCGGCCTGAAAGGTAAGGAGGACCAGATTACGTGGGCAGCGTGGGGAAGGGGGTGCTGAAGTGTCGAAGGGAATAAAGGGGGATCAGAGTGGGACGGGGGCAAAGGGAATGCAGAGAGAGGCAAACTGTCCCGCCCTCTTTCACTCAACGAACTGTTTCTGAGCGACGGGATGTGCCGCATGTGTACACGTTTCTGTTTCACACTGCATCCTGACAACCAACAGCCGTGTGATACAGGCGTGTGCTAGTCGTTACTCTGCCTCATTTTAGGGGGTCAAGTACCTGGCTCCCCGTCACACACGGAATAAATGGCAGAATTAGAATTTTAGTGCAAATCTGTCCAATTCAACATTTTCCCGACTCCAAATTCAACAAAGGAAAAAGCGCAGAGGCGAGTAGGACACTGGCTCCCCCCAAACGGGATGAGAAGTGCGGGGCCAGCAGCGGCACCAGAGTCACAGTCCGGTGCCCTCACAGTCATTGCGGGAACCCGTCCACATGTGAGTATGGTGGCATTCCCTCGAGGTTTACGCACAGGAAAGTCGGGGGTGGGGTACCTGGTGGATGACGTAGATGCCGTAAGCAAGCTGCTGGCGCTGCAGGAAGGGGTGCAGGTGGTAGAGCAGCAGGCGCAGGTGCTGCTCCCGGGCACGGTGGGGCACAATGATGGCTGTGCGGGAGCGGGGCTCACACCCTGCAGGGCGGTAGCGGCCCCCCGCTTCCACCCGGGGATTCCTCTCCACGATCTCTGCCAGTGACGGCACTGGACTAAAGGACACGGACACGGGACCCACTGCCAGACGGAATGACAAGTTAGGGATCAGAGGGTCACGGAGGAAAACAGGACCAGGGGCCAAGGACACGTCTAGCCCTGGTCATCCTGGCTGGGGGCTCAGCAACCCCCAATGGCTCGCTCCGAAACTCACAGTCCTTGAGTCCCCATCACTGGGATGGCTTGGCAAAGTCTGGAAGGTGCAGGCTTCCTGCCCAGCCCACCTTCCTATCTCACGCTCCATCCCTTTCTCCTGCCTCCCTGGGCTGGAAGCTGCAGTAGGGGATGGCGAGGACAGAAGGACTTCCCGCCACCTAACTAATCAGGGCTTGTCCACAAGGGAAGCAAAGTAGCCCAGGCAGGAAGACACCCACGAACGGGCAGGCAATAGGAAGCTGTGGCTCAGCCAGAGGCCGACCGAACCTCCAGATGCAGAGAACACTCAACTCAGCCCGCCTTCCAGTCACCCTTCCAGTCACGTGGCCTCCTGCTCTAAGGCCCCGCCCCGCCCCGCCCCGCCCCGCCCCCTTGCCTTGCCTCGGTGCCTCCTTCCTTCTGCACTCACCTAAGAAAGGAGACCGTTCTGGACAGAAGGGCAGGCCTTGAGCTGGAGGGTCACCTGGTGCAACGGGCACCCCAGGCAGGTGACTGAGGTTACTGTAGACATCATGGGGATGAGAATAGTCGAATGTAGGCCCCTGCTCTCGGCCAAATAGGGCACTGAGGCTTCGAAAGCCCCCCAAAGACAGGTACATCATGACAGCCAGCTGGGAGCCCACCAGCAGGGCCAGCGTGCAGGGCCGCTCCAGCAGCCTCCGCAACATCCTGGGGTTTGAGGCCTGGGGGGAGAGAGAGAGGAGAGTGCTGGGGGGCAGGCAGGAAGGGAGCTCACCATGGGGATGAGGGGGTGCCAAGGTAAAGAGAAAAAACAGGCAAAGAACGAAGTCACAGAAGGAAGCACACAGGTGCACAGTCACGCAGGATGTAACCACTAGCAGCCCTACCACCTGTCACTTCCAGCCCAAGTTTCGGTGTCCTCCACTCCTCCCCAACCCACTGCCACCATCTCCTCTCAGTCCCCACCCCCAGTTCAGAGGAGCCTCTGGAGAACCTCCCTTCCAATTCAAAGAGGGAGAGAGACTCACCTAGGCTCAATCTGCCTTCTTCCAGATCGTGGGGGCTCCAAGGGGTCCCGGGGGAGCAGAGATGTGAGGCATCATCCAAAGTTGGAAATGTCACAGAGGCCAGACAAAGGCTCCAACCAGCACTCCTGGGACCAGCTGGAACAAAAGTGGGCAAGGATGACCAAGCCACCCGCGGAGGGAAAGTGGTTGGGAAAAGAAAGGGGAGGAGTGGGGGAGGCTAGGTCCCTGGCTGTCCCACAGGCAACGCCGGCGTGTCAGGTTAACTCCATACTCACCCATCCCCCACACCAACAGGACCAACCTGTTTCGGGAGTGGGGACAGGGCGACGAAGGGAAATACTACTTTCGCCGGGGGGTGAGGCAGTCACGGCAGCACTGCGGAGTGGTCTCAGGGGAACCCAGGGCTGAGGAGACGGTTCCTTCCCATTCCTCACGAGTCTGGGAGCTAGCTCCGCGGGTGCCGGGAGCGTGACCACCTGGGAGCTGCGAGCAAACACTCCGAGGCGCGGCGGGGAGCGGGCTGGGGCGGCGTCACTACCTCTTCTGCCTCCCCCAGCCCGCCGCTAAAGTAAGCACAGCCAGGGAAGGCCGGGCAGGACCTGCCAGGGTACCAGGGCTCGCTCACCTGGAGGGGTGTGGTCGGCGCTCTGCAGGGGGCACAACGCGAGGCTTCCCGCGCACCCCCATCCCACCCAGCCTCCTCGTGCGCGCGCCCTCCCTTGCTGTGAACCGCCCGGCCTCGGTCCCCGCTTGCACCCGGGCCCCGCTCCCTGCCCGAGCTGCTCTGCAGCCCGTGCCCCGAGCTGCTCATGCTCCCGGTCGCCGGACCTCTCCCCGGGCCTCAGCCCACCACACCTGGTCGTCTGTTTCCCGTCCTCACCGCCACCCTGACAGCCGGGCAGGTACCGCTGCCGCCATCTTGGAAGCGGGCGCGAGTGGGCGGGGCCTCGCGCCACGGGGGCGGGGCTTCGAGTTGCGGGCGGGGCCTCGGCGGGTCTCGGAGGAGGCTACGAAGCAGGCGGAAGGGGCTCGACCCCTGTGGGAGCCGGCGGGGGACCCATCGCACCCGACCGATCCCCGGCGGAGGACCCATCGCACCCGACCGATCCCCGGCGGAGGACCCATCGCACCCGACCGATCCCCGGCGGAGTGCCATCTCCCACTGCTCTGGCTTGTAAAAGCGGCAGCTCAAACAGGACTTTCTTCCCTCGACCAGGCCGGTGGAACAGTTGCTGGCGCGTCCGAAGACTTTACCGTCCCTCCGGGCTAGGTCGGGCGCGTTACTGTGTCAGCGGCGCCCCTGCCCCCTGGTGCCACTTAGTGTCAAAATTGTTTCTTGCCTAGGGTACAGAGATGCTGACTGCTCGGCGCATTGTTGTATCCACACGGTGTCCCCCAAGCCTAGAAATAGAAACAGTTGTTAATAAAACCAGGAAACGGTGCCCGGATATCGGAGTAAAATGGACGCTCCGTCAATATGCAGTATGTTTATTTTGTGGTTTCCACTGCCCCTTAGCATATCGTCTTCCTTAGAAGCAGATGTTCACACTAAGTCACGGTTTCCACCTGGGGAACCACATGGTCTTGTGCGGTGGCGGAGGCGGGGAGAGGGACGTAAATGGTGAGTGTGATGACTGACAGCCCGGAAGCCGCTGTGCATTCACGGTGGAGACGGCAGAAAGGCTTCCGGGAGCAGTCGCAGCTTATGGGAAATCCGAAGGAACTGTCTAAGCACATCCTTCTGCTGTTTAAGATTTTGTTTCCATGGAGCTATTTTACAGCTCTGTGTAGGTAACTGCGTGACGTGCAAATTCTGTCCTATCTGATACAGGTTCAAATAACCCCTTACTGTCAGCATTGTAGGAATCTCTGGGCGGATGGTGGCACCATTTCACGAAAACGAAACTTAGAAGAGGTACATCCGGGGCAAATGGTACAGGTAACAATTTAAACTTTAGAGTCAATGAGTTTGAGGTGCCTGAGGAGGCTCAAAATGAGAAAATACTGGACGAGTTCAGTGCCAGCTTTGAAACCTGTTGCTGTGTGATGTTGAACGATACACTCTCTGGAGTTCATCTGTAAATAAACCCCGTCTCAAGGGGTTTTGAGGTAATTAGTGAGAACGACAGAAAAGTGCCAGCAGACAGCAGCTATTCAATACATCCGAATTTTCACCACAAAGTCAGAGCCAAGCGAAAGCCCTGTTTTTTTTTTTTAAGGGGCTCATGGCGTAAGTGGAAAAGCTGGACTTACACAGATAATGAACTGTGCTCATCCCAGAGGAACCGCCTGCGAGCCTCTGCACCTCCGAGGGGTTCTGTTCTGTAAAGCTGGCTTTCGCCTTCTGCCGCGGTTTCTGTCCACCATGTTCTAACAACTCCCCCACGATCTCCTGGAAGCTCCTGGTGTTTGAGAGCGCTCATCTCTAGTCTATTTCACCCTGGCCACGCCCAGGACTTCGTCATCACCTGCAACTGCTACATTTCTGAAAATAACTTTTAGCGTGCTGGTTTCCACCACAACATCCTGCCTTTCTATAGGCTGAATAAATCCTGGGGCCCCTAGAGGCCCAGTCATGACACACAACACAGTAGGAAAAAACCCAGCCTTGTAATCTAATTTAAAATAATTCAAATCTCTGTTTAGTTCCTCAAGGACACATCAGGGGCACGGGGAGAGGAAAGTGGAGCAGGAGCACATCGTGATGCACATTTAAATGTCTTCAAAACCCTTTCCCTCCCACTCGGCGTTTCCCACCAGGATGGCAGCTTCTCCTCAAAACTGTCCCTTCGAGCCCTGCTCTGCTGCTTACAGTGTTACCCTGCGTTCTCTGTACAGCACTTTGGTTCTGCTCCTCCAGGGAAGAGCCCTGGAGCTGAGCCCGCAAGCAAAAACCCTTCCTCCACCGCCGCCCCGCTCTCCGCCGGGTCCCTGCTTGCTTTGGAGTGGGAGACGGATGCCTCCTCCAGGAAGACTCCCATGACCCCATTATATGCGAGGTGTCCCTCCTCTATCGTGGCACCTGTCACACAGGCCTGGAGTTTTTATCTTACCTGACTGTCTCAGCCACCAGACTGTGAACTCTCTGAGGATAGGGACCATGTCTTCCCTTTTAACATCCCCTGAATGTAACCCAGAACTTTTGGCAGCAAAGTCTACAAAATAACCCATTTTAGATCTGACTTAGACAGTTCATTGGTATAACTATTTTCTCATCCTCATGCAGGAATAGGAAGGGGACAGGCAAAGGAAGAGAATTGAAGAGAAGAGAACCAGCAGGTGTCGACACTTACCAGAAGGCAGACACAGGGCCAAGCCTTTATGTCATGACACCTCTCCAGAGGCAGGTGGTAGTCCACCCATCGTACAGAGAAAGAAACTGAAGCTTGCAGAGATCAATTAACTTAAGGTCACATCACTGCATGTAAGTAGCAAACCTTAGAATCAGTCTGAGTCCAAAATCTGCATCTTCTTGGGTGCTGTGAGAGCGTGATTTGGTTCCAGTTTGTCACCCACTGGCTTATTTACTGAACAAATAAATGGGATAAACAGGCAATTCCAACTGCACCTCCGAGGGGTTCTGAAATTAGGTCATTGAACATCTTTTCCTCAGACCCATTTTCAGGCCAAAATTCTCATATTTCCAGCTTTTCAATGCTGATTTGCATCTACAGTATCAAGAGCACATGCTCGTGCATCTGTGAGGTTGGCCACTTGGATGTCACTGTCTGCCCGTTTGTGTACCTGTGTCCTCCTGGGTCTGTAGGGCCTGTTCCCAGTTGCGCCAGACTGAGGGATGCCTTGCCTCTGCTTGCTGCCCTCCCTCTCCTTCCTAGGACTACCTAAGTGCTCGGGGCCTGTCCCCGCAGAAGGTCCTGCCTGGGGACGTTATTCCGTACAGTTGCTCCGCTGTGCCCTCCCTGCCTGGTTCTGAGCATTTCTCGCGCTGGTGGTCTCCCCCAGCTGCCCAGCGGCCTTGGCTCCCCCCAGCAACAGTAAATGGAGAAGGTACTCCATCGGTTCAGAGCCATCCTCTTAGCCAATAAAGTATTAGCATGTTGGGTTCCACTTTCTCCCCCCTGCCTCTCCCACAAGCCCTCACCAGTGAGATGCTGGTTTTGTCACTTCCTGTCAATCTGGTATTTTCGAAAACAAATACTGCGATACTATGTAGGGACTAAGAAATGGGCTCCAGGCGGAGTGGAAGTGTAGCCATCCCTTGGCACTGCAGAAAGCCAGATGAGCAAATAAATGCCCAGATTCCCTCTGCATTTACCGTGAAGCAGAGAACCCAGGGGCAGGCAGGGCTTCAAGAAACTGGCGCGACTCGGTGACCGCTGCGGCCTCAAACACGCGCAGCACTCCCTCCTCGCGAGATGCTCCCACGCTCCGCTGGCAGTTCTCAGGGGGCAGGACGCTCGTTGCCTCCGCGGCCCCCGCTCTTTTTCCTAGAGCTCTTCACTGTCTGCTCTTTTCCTCTAAAACCAGGTACTGGAAGGTCAGAGTGCCCCCCGCCCCCCCTGCTCTTCCTGTCTCCCCTCCTGTTTGCTCGCCCATCATGGACCCAGAAGGCCACAAGCAGGAAGAGGGCAGCAGAGCCAACCTTGGCCCTGCAGGAGGTGAGCAGCGCCCCCACCCCAGGAGAATGCTCGGACCCCGGACCTCAGGTAGTCTAGAGCCTGAGCAAGGGAGGGACGGCAGGAGGATCACTCGGCCTCCGGAAGGGGTCAGGCCTAGCCTGGGACAGAGGGTGACCGGCACTTCTCTTCGACCATCTTGTTTCTCTCTCCTTCCACCAGTCACAGAGGTGGCCTCTAAACTCAGGCCTTTTCTGGGAAAAACTTTATGCTAGTCAGGACCCTACTCGGTGAGTAAGGGGCTTCTTAAAATGATGCCTCGGAGTCTACGGCCACGCCACCCTGAACGTGCCCAATCTCGTCTGATCACGGAAGCTAAGCGGGGTGGGGCCTGGTCAGTACTTGGATGCGAGACCACCTAGGAAGACCAGGAAGACCAGGTGCTGTATGTGTAAAACAAACAAACAAACAAACAAACAAATAAAACAATGCCTATGAAAGCGGTTTATGGAGTGTGAATTACCATGAGCACTAAAGAAAGCTCAGGAGGCTGTCACACCTCCCTGTCCCTCACGGGCCCCCCAAGACTCACCCTCAGGAACCCTGGGAGCCGGAGCCCGCGAGCCTGGGCTCACAGTCTCTGCACTGTTCATTCGGCCCTTATCACACAGCTTGTGTACACCCCCCTTAAGCAACCCCTCGCCGCGAATGTGGTGGGCTCCTTCTGTCATAGACGGTTGCGTGGGTCCCTTGCGTCTAGGCACAGAGCTCTGCTCGTGGTACCGTGAGCTCACGGTGTTGAGCTCTGTGAACACGACATCGGAGGTCTCGTTTTGGCACCGGGTGAGACAGTGGGAGATCACTTTGACCTTGACACACTCTCCTGTTTCTACCTCCTCCAGCCTGGTGGTAGGGGGACAGCAAGAAAGGCCGGGGCCGGCAGGCGGTGGGGCCACGTGTACTGGAAAGGCCGTGTGTGTGTGTGTGTGTGTGTGTGTGTGTGTGTGTGTGTGTAGGTGGGTTTTTCTGTAGTTACTGAGGGTGTAGGTGCCATCTGGTGGCATAATGTGCAGGTCACCCTGTAAGGCACAGCCAGGCACTCAAAGCCACCACAGCCTCCACGGCCCAGAGTTCCCGCACCAGTCCCAGCAATGATGGCCCAGTAAGGCGACTTTAGTGCCCCGTGCTCCCTTCATCCACCCACACTGCAGGCGCTCCTCCCACACCCCCCATTCAGTCCCTTCCCCAGTCCCTCTCAGTATCGCCACTGCCACTCAAGACTCCAAATTCTTGCAGGACCAGCTCCCACCCTTCCCCGGCCCTGATCCCCCATAACACATACCGGGCTGCCCAAGTTCCTTCTGAAGCAGCCCCCTGATCTGAAGGGAAGCAGACCCGTTTCAGTCCCCCACTGCCCTTCGAGTGCTCTGCCACAGCTGACGCTGGGTTCCCCTCACCGCAGGCCCTTCTCCAGGCCACTCATTTGGCCTCCTGACTGTCCCCTACCAAGCCACCTCTGCCCTTCATATTAAATTCCCTTCTGAAGGCACGGGTTACGCTGGTTGACTCTGGGGATCCTGTTACTCAGCAGTCAGGGGAAGCTCTTGCCTGGGAACAGCTTTTGCTAATTTTGAAAGATGACATTCGTTTCTAACACAGCCTGTGGGAACAGGTGTCGTTACCCCTTGCACACACAGGCCACCTACGGCTCGGCAGCAGCGATCCGCCCAACTCTGCCAGCTGAGGTGAACCCCGACTCGAGTGCAGACCCCGCGGCCCAGCTGCAGAGCTGTCTCTGCCTCCACCGTCTTCACGGACCCGCTAACAGGCTCGTCACGGAGTGCGCCTCTGTCTGCGCCTTTGTGTTCGCAGTCGTGCTCGGAGCCAAGTGTTTATTTTGTCTCCAAGTGGTTGGGGACCTCTAGAGACCAGGGACACAGCCCGGGATAGGTCGTGCCAACCAGAGGAACTGCGCAGGAGGCAGGGGCAGGCAGCGCTGGTGATGCGGCTCTTTGCCATCGCCAAATGCATGGCAGCCGCCGCTGACGAGGAGGTGACAGAAGGGCGATGACTGTCCCCGGCCGCAGTCGCCCGGCACTCACCAAGGCCTGCGCACGGTGCTAGCTCTTTATTTACATTATTTAATCCTCACGACAAAGTTCCAAGGGAGGTATTGTGATTGCAGTTGAGGAAACTAACGTCCAGAGATGTGGAGCCAGGGTGCGCCACACCTGTCCGAGCACATAAATAGCAGAATTCAATTTGTACTTCAAGACATGGCAGTCCCTTACTCCCTGAAGACCTGCCCTGCCCTTGACTCCTCCTTCCCCAGAAGACAGCAGTCAGGGCTAGGAAAGCAGGGCAGGACATACATTGTACACACACAGATACATGCACATGTCCTCTCACACACGTCCTCTCTCTCTCTCTCTCTCTCTCTCTCTCTCTCTCTCTCTCTCTCTCTCACACACACACACACACACACACACACACACACACGGACCACGCGGGCCACGGCCACCACCCTGGATTTCCTGGCCAGGGTGAGGCCTAGCAGAGGTCCGGTTCAATTCCCCAGGACCCCGGCCCTCATCTCCTTCTCTGGCACTAAATAAAAGTGAATAAATACTAAATAAATACAGCTGGGGCCCACTCTGCCTTCCCCCTCCCTCCTGTGACCAGCAGGGCAGAGAGGGCACCCTACATAGGGGACTGTCTCCCAGCCCCTCAGTCCACCATGGCTGCTGTCCAGAGCAGGGGATTGGCAGGGCCAGCCTGCGGCAGGGCGGGGTGTGGGGGGAGGTGGGCCCGGCCAACCCCCACGAGGCCCGGAAGCCCCTGGCTCCCACTAAGTCCAGGCCAGTGCCTGGGAAGGGCGGCCGGGGTGGTGAGGTCACTTGCGGCCGGCCCAGGGCCGCCGCCGGAGCACCTCCAGGATCTGCGCCTTGCGGTGCAGCCAGTCCTGGGGAGCGGGGCGCGCTGGCGAGGGGGCCGCCCGGGGCACGAAGAAGCTGTACCGCAGGCGAGCGCCCCGGGGGTCTGCGGCCACCAGGACCTGCAGCGTCAGGGGCTGGGCCAGCGGCCCGCGGCCTGCCAGGGTCTCGGAGGCTGCAGTGGCCCCGCTGTAGTGAAGGTAGCCTGCCCCGGGCAGCGGCACGTCCGTGGGCGATGGCGCCAGTGTGTAGTCCCCGTTGAGGGCGTAGGAGCCGTCTGGGAGCTTCAGGGCCAGGTAGGGGCTCCGAAGTCCAGGGGGCCCTTGCTGCCGGACCAGGATGTGGGTGGCCCCCGCTGGGATGGTGACCACACTGCTGTACCCATACCTGTGTGGAAGGAGGAGGGGGGGGCTCAGCGAGCACCTTCCAGAATCCCCCAGAACCTTCTGAGCCACAAGTGTGTGCAAGTGTGAATGTGTGAGTGTGAGAGTGTGAGAGAGGTGTGAGTGTGTGTGAGTGTACAAGGGGCTATCTCCTCTGACCCGTGTGACTGTGTCCAGCCTGGATCTGAATACCTACAAATGTGCCTGCCCACTGGCCGCTGGACCTTCACACCTGCTGTCCCCTCACCAAGGCGCCCTTCTGAGCCCTGCCCACTCCTGCTCTCTGTCCTAGGGGAGCCTCCCCTGATGCCCACAGGGCCCCTGCCAGCGGGGCTGACACCTGCTGAGCAGGTGGGACACCGATACGCCTGCCCACTCGTCCATGTTGAGTTCACCTGTCATCCCCCAGGCCCAGCAGTGTCCCGGAGGGCGGGGGAGGAAGTGAATAGCGGACGGACCTGAATTTTCTGAAGGAGCCGGACTGCTTGCTGCAGCTGGAACCATCCCCGCCGCACACCATGCACTTGTCAAACTTTTTTTTGGAGCCAATGACGCGGTCACAGCCAGCATGGATGCAGCGGCCCTGGACACAGACCGAGGAGCTGTCGGGGGAACAGGGCGTCCCGTCTACCACCTGGAGACAAGAGAAGGGGAGACACGAAGGGTTGCCCCCCAGTCAAGAGGGTGTGGTAAGCCAAACAAGACCCATATCCCACCAGGGAGAGGCTGTGGGTGCAACGGGGAGAGAGCTGGGAACATCGCAAGGGACAATAAGCAGGATGACAATGACATGATAAAAGCCGCCACCTTTAGAGCACTCTCCGAATGGGACATTGTGCCGAGTGCTTTGTGAGCATGAACATAAATCTCACGGCCACAACTTGGGCGTTCTAGAGATAGAACACTGAGCTTCAGAAAGATTAGGGACTTGCCCAGTGGTTAGAGCTGGCAAGCGAGCCCAGGTGGGAACTGCAGCACCAAGCCCTAAGCCTCGATGGCACCGTCCCAGGTGGACACTAGAGGGCAGCCGACCCGCAGGAGTCCCTCCAGGGTTCGCTCTTCCTTCAGCCCTCACCCTGCCGCCTTGCCACAGAGAGGGCGAGCGTGGACATCCCTGCCTCCAAGAGGTCTGTCCAGAGGGACTGGCTATCCATGAGCTCACTGAGGCACCACTGCCATCTGGCAGAGGAGCCCATGGGAATGGGGCCGAAGACTTGCCCCAGAGACCACACGCCTGCATTGTCACGACAGGGACCACCGGAAGATGGGGAGAGGGACAGAAGCCGAAGGAGATGGGGCAGCTCCCCGGTGGGCAACTTATGCAGAGTCTGGGGCTTGTTTTCCAAACGGTCCCACGCCCCGACCCCCACCCCTGGGGCGGGCCTGGCACCGCCGTGGGATCGCCAGCAGGGGTGCCTACGAGAGTGTGCGGAACAGCCAAGCTGCAGCACCCCAGGCCTCACCCGTGGCTCCAGCACGTAGTAGTAGCCCAGAGCCCGGGCCTGGCAGGTGAGTTTGCACTGGTCCCGGGGGCCCACGCCCACGTAGCGAGGGGCCCAGTCCATGGGTCCTGGAAAGCTCTTGAAGAGGTCAGTGCGGTGGTTGTAGGCAGCACACTGTTCTTCACGGAAGGTCAGCGCTGCAGGGGCAAAACGGCCAGTCAGAGCCGCCCCCTCGTCACACTGCCCACCAGCCCTGCACCTTGCCCCTCGCCCTCCAGACAACTGGCACCTGTCCCCCTCACAGACTGCCAGGGAGGGCTCCTGGAGGGAACCAGCTGCACAGCAGGGACAGTCAGCACCTCCTCGGTCCCCACACGCCAGGGACACCCCTTCCTGCTCGGCTGCACCCTCCCGAGGGCCCCGTCCCCCCCACCCCTTACCGGAGCCACCAGGGCAGTCCTGAGTATTGCAGGACCGGAAACGGGTGTGGCGGCCCTCACAGTATTTGCCACCGTTCCGGGGGGCGGGCCGCGTGCAGTCCCGGGAGGAGAACTGGACACCGCCCCCGCAGCTCCGGGAGCAGTCGCCCCAAGATCCCCAGTGACCCCAGCCACCAGCCTGCGGAATCTGCAGAAGCACAGGATGGAGAGGCAGGATGAAGATGCTTTCTCCTGGGCTCAGGGCCAGTCCCACCCCAGACCCTCCGCCCCACCCCGGCCCCGGATCTCACGTCGAAGTCCCGGAGCTGGTCCACGTGGAGGCAGCGGCCACCCATGCAGGCCTGTGAGGGCCCGCAAGAGGTGCCATCTGCCCAGGGCGAATGCTTGGTCTGGCACATGGCGTGACCGTTGAGATGACCAGAGCACCAGAGGGCAGCACAGGGCGGTGGCAGCTGCGGACAATGGTGTGACTCAGGCCCGAAGGTCAGCTGGCACTGGCGGTCAGCATCATAGTCTTTGCCAGGGAAAGTCACAGGCAGACGCAGGGGAGCCTCTGGCTGGTCTAGGAGACAGTGCCCTGGGAAGGGGGGCAGGGGTACAAAGTGAGCAACGGGAGAAGGCGGCATTCTAGCTTGCCCGCTGAGCGCTTGAGCCCCCTGGGGCCAGATGGACGGCAGGATGCAAACCCTAGGGCTGGAAGAAGCTTTAACTAGTGGTGGCAGTTTTACTGGGTGCTTATATGTGATGGGCCTCAGCACCTCACCTCCTTTCGCCAACTACAGAGCTGCCGAATCGGCTTCTAGTCAGCAGCCCTGTCCGGGGAAGGGGAGTACAAAGCGGGGCAGGCCTGCTCACCGTAGCCATTGTCCAGGAAGTCAGTGATGAAGCGGGCACTGCAGGGGGACCAGGGCTCCTCAGGGTCCACATGAGCCATCACAGGGGCCATGACATGGTGAGAGGTGCCCCCAGGCCCATTCAGACCCACACATGGCTTTGAATTGTCATGCAGCATGTTGAAGACGTGACCTGTGAGAGCAGAGGCCATGCTAGGGTCCCAGGGTCCCGCTCCTGTGCCCTCAGGGGGCTGCAGGTTCATTACAAACCTGGCTGCAGCCGTGGGTGGTCAGATCTGTCTCCACCCTGCTCCAACTCACTTCTTGGCTCCGAGGGCTGCTCAGTATGCAGCCGCCATTGCTGTCTCCCCTCCCCCAGGTGCACTCAGGCCCGGTCCCCACCCAACGCTCCCAACCCACCCATTCTGTCCTGACTCTTACGAATAGCATCTGCCAGTACCTGTGCCATCCCCAACACATAAGCAGTTCACGGTAGGTTTCCACCCGCTACCTCGTTTAATAGACAAATCAAAGGGTTGTCCACACCCAGAGCAGAGGCGGGTGACAGCCTGGGACCTAGGCCTGGGAGAAGGAGGAAACCCCCGTGCCCTCGTCTGCACCTGGGGAGCTCACGGTTCCCTCGCCTCGGCCCTGACCCTGTCTCCTCCACCCGCCTCACCCAGTTCGTGAGCAGCAGTGAAGGCCGACTGCAGTCCGTCGTCCTCCACGACAGCACAGCTCCGTGCCGGGTCACACACAGTGCCCACGTCGGCCATGCCCAGGGTGTCGCAGGTGGAGACCCCACACAGGTCCTGTGGAGCGGTGGTAGGAGACGCATGAGGGACCCAGAGCCCATCGGGCTGGGACAGAGCAGGGGGGACGCTGAGCCTCCTCGGGGCCCAGGTGGCAGCGGTGACGGGGCTGGGACCGCGGCGTCGCCCTCAGCAGCGGCCTTCCTGGAGCCGCATGGCAGGGTCCGCGGTGCTGGCGGGCTCACCTGCCGGGTGAACAGCACAGCCGTGTCAAAGTGGTCGGGGTCCGAGTCCTGGGGCGTGTTGAGTCCTTGCTGCCATGTGCAGAAGCTGCGCAGCGTCTGGGCCGCACTGGGCCCCACCTGGGGCCCTTCCTCGCCGGGCCCCAGAATCACTAGCCGAGTCACCACCAGGTTGACAGGGTTGCGGATGCTCGGGTGCTTGAAGGCCTTGGCTGCCGCCGCCATCACTGTCAGCAGGTAGCGCCTCAGTCCGGCGCCATGGAAAGCAGCCATCTTGTCGTCAGCCACCACCAGGGTCTCCACGAACCTACTCAGGGAAGCGAAGCGCTAGAGAGAAAAGAGGACAGGAGGGTCCTGAAACAGCCTCCTTGACCAGGGGCCACCCCCACCCCCCGCCCCGGAGGCTTCCTGGGTCAGCTCAGCCTGGTCACACACGTACCCCGAGACTGGGCTGGTGCCTCCCCCACCCCCAAGCGCCAGGGCTTTGTAGTAAGTCTGAGAAATCAGCTGTTGGTTGAGAGCAGGGGAGGAGGGGGTTGCCACGTGCTAGGGCGCCTGGGCCCCGAGGTGGAGAGCAGCTAGCGCTGCCTCTGGGAGGGACCTTGGGGCCCCCAGGCCTGAGCATGGCTGGGGCCTGCAGGACTGGGGCTACAGGGCTGGGCTGCAACGTGTCTGCCCTGTGTGGTTGGAGGAACACTCAGTCAGCAGCCAGGGCCGGGGCCAGGTCTCAGCGTGGCGGGTGTGGAGGGTGCGTCTGGTCTGCATTAAGCTGGAGAGGCGGGGTGGGGGTGAGGAGAGGACGGGGCCCCAGGCAGCCCAGCCAGTCCCGGGACGGGGCTGACTGGGACAGCGGACTGCTGGAGAGGAGGTTGGGAGTGCCTCCCCTCCCCGTCCACTCCTGCTGGCTTGCAGTCCCCAGCACAGTTTTGGAGGCAGCATCAGAAGCCAGAAGCCAATCCCTGGGGCCTCAAACCTCCCTCTTGTTGCTGCTGGGGAGTGCAGGGCGGGGGGCGGGTAAAAATCAAATTTGGGGCACAGGAGAGAATCAAGTCCAAGTCTGTCAGAGAGCGCTGTGGCCGAGGCCGGTGGCAGTCGGGTGCCGAGGCCAGGCAGGAGCTGGGCGGGGAGAGGGAGCGGCCATCCGCAGCGGAGCCTCCGGGCCACCTCTGGGAACCCTCCTCGGGGTGAGTGGTTGCCAGGGGAGGCCAGGCGGGAAGAAGCCGGGGATGTGGGTGGAGGGGGTGCGGAGGGGTCAGTGGCACAGACTCCGTGCGTGCGGGACGCCTACCTTGGCTCTGCGGGGGCTGGGGCTGGGGCTCCCAGAAGGAGCCTTGACGCTGCACATGGGGCCTCGGCCACTGACGGGACTCTTCCGGCGCAGGATGTGCGCCCCGGGCCCCCCGGCGGAGTTGGGGGCGCCTCCCTCCAGGGGCTGGATGTGGAGCTCGGTCCCTCGATACTGCAGCACCCCTAGCAGGGCTGCCCCGTCCCAGTGCAGAGATGCCACCGACTCAGGGTCTCCGTTGATGGTGCCAGTGAGGTAGGTGCCCGGCTCGGCCCCACCCAGCAGCTCGGGCGCCTGGCCCAGGTACTGAACTGTCAGCCCCTCGACCCGCACACCCGGGTCTCGCTCCAGCTCTAGCAGCAGCGTGTCCCCAAAGGCGGGCAGGCGGTACAGCAGTCTGGCAGGATCGCCCGAGCCAGGCAGGACGCTGCCGTTGAGCTTCTCTGGGAACACGACCTCCTCCTCCTGGCTGGCCGGCCGGGCCAAGGGCAGGAGGGCGGATGCCAGCAGCAGCAGAAGCAGCCTTACTGGCCCGGAGATGGGCACGGTGGGGAGCAGCCGACGGGGGCGGGCGCCCCACGGCCAGCAGCTCGCCAAGCTCCTCCCGGGACACAGGTCCGTCAGGGACATGGCACTGCGGCTGCAGCTGGGCGAAAGCGAGCCGTCCAGGCACCGAGTCCCACACGCACTGGCTTTTCTCTGCAGCCCGGGGCTCAGACTAGCGCCAAGGTCAGGGGCAGTTTCCAGAGGAGCTGGGACTTTCACAGATGCAGAGAACTAGGCCCTCGGCTTAGGAGAAGTGCCTGGTGTCCTGGCTCCTCCCAACTTCCCTCCCAAATCCCTGTCTCCTGCTTCTTTGTCTCTTCCTGCCCGTCCCCTGCAGCCTCACTGGCCTCCCCTCTGTACGCCTTCAGACCCCGGCTTCGCCTCGGTGCCTTCGTCCCTGTCCGGCGCTCTCCCCCAGTCTATGTGTCTGTGGGTCTCCCTGTGGGTTCTTCCCACGGGCTCTCCCCGCCAGCTCTTTTAAGCATCTTGAGCCTCCGTGATTGGCTGAGCTGGAAGCCAGTCAGCCAGCAGCTCTCCGGGTGGGACTCAGATGGGTGTCTCATTCCTTCCCAAAACCCTAGTTTTTGTCTTCCTTGAAAAAAATGGGACTTGCCCAGGGGAGGAGGGTCTCTAGCAGCCGGATGGAGGATCATAGGCGCTGGGCCAGCTGATGACATCGCCTTTTCCCGAACCCCACGGGAGGCCCTCCGCCACCTCTTTCCCAATTTGGTGGACAGAGCCCCACGAGGGGCAGGAAGTCAAGAAAGGGCCCGGCCGACACGCACAGAAAGGACCAAGGTCTCAGGAGAATTCTGGCCCGGCCTCCAGTTCCTCAGGGCTCCCCCAGACCGCCCTCTGCCCCTAGGGGCTGCTTTCCAGGCTGAGGAGAGAGCGTGGGGACAGGTACAGAAGCCTCAAGAGGGCAGACAGAGAAAGCAGCTGTTGGCAGTGCTGGGGAGTCCGCTGCCCAAGGCAGGGCGCATCTGCGGAGGAGGGGCCCCGGGGCGGCCGAAGGCTGTGCGGGAAGCGAAGGACTTTAAGCTTTTACAGACCGAGGCTCCAGGGTCCCTTTGCCCCTTCAGGCTCCCCCTTCCTGAGTTGCCACTACCCGCCCCTCCGAAGTCTGCAACAGCCATTCCGCCTCCATTCCCCCGGGCTCCCCTCCCACTTCCTGACTCCCCGTTTCCCTGGCCCAGCTCCCAGTCTCTTACCCCAGGCTCTTGGTCCTGCTCCCACCCTGAGCCCTCCCCCAGCCTCCAGTGCGGAACCCAGAGCCCTGGGCCAATCCTTGTCCCTCGGAGGGAATCCCCACCTGGCTCCCTGCTCTGGCCCCACCTTCCCCTGAGAACCCCACAGTTCCTGGAATATCTAGTCATGTTTTATTTCTCATTCTCTGGTCAAGGAGAGGCTAAGGCACTGTGTCCGTAGTAACAGACACAGGAAGCCGCGCCTGAGGTGGGAGAGTTGTGGGGATGGCGTTAGGCAAAGGACGCGGAATCACTACCTGGGTTCTGGGCTGCAGGGGACTCAGCAAGGCGGTCGGGGGGTGGGGGGGCTCTCAAGGCGAGGGAGGAGAGAGCTCGGCCAGGGGCCACGTCTGCTCCCCCGAGCCACAGCCACGCCTTTCCCCAGGAAATCCCTAGGAAGGGGAGTGAGGTCAGCAGCCTCCTTCCCTTCCCAGACAAGGACCACCTGCCCCTGCCCTCCATCGTCCATTCACTTTGCCTGGGCACCTCCCTTTCCCCACCCCCACCTCATATCCGTCAGAATACTTTCTTTCCCCATCCCTTCCTGCTCAGGTTGCTAATACCTGCCCTGTCGCCCACTGCTTCCTGTATCATCTGCCCCCCTGTGACTGCCAGACCCACCTCTTGACACCCACCCACACGCCCTGACCCTGGTCCTAAGTCAGGGTTGGGGCTGCAGGAGTAGACAAAAGATGGGGGAGGAGCAGGGGCAGGGGCAAGAGGCGCTGTCACCAGGGGACTCTCATTGCCCCTTTCCACCCCCCATCTGAGATGAGGACAAAGGGGGTGACTAAGCGGTGAGAGACAAAGGGCCTCAGAGTCACAGCAGCAGTGTGTGGGGGTGTTGGCAGCAGGGAGAAGACACAAAAGATGCAGTGTCCCAGGCAGCCCCCCAGGGCCAATCCTGACTTCTCCCAGCTGGATGGAGGCTAAAGAATGCAGCCTCCCTACCAGCATACCTACTGTGCTCTAACCAGAGGGGAGAACACCGAGAGAAGGTGGGGATGAGGGGCAGGAAGGCAGAGCCTCTGCCTGGCTCTGCGGGGGCTGCTCCATCTACATAGGTCCCAGTCAGTTCCCACAGCCAAGGATATGACCCCACCCTTTGGGACGGTTCCCACTAGGTCAACTCCCAGGCTAGAAGTCTGGCTTTCTCTATTTTTGCCACAGCTAAGAATTCCCTGTCTCTGCCACTCTCCTGATCTGTCTGTCCCACCCTGCTGCAATGCTGGTGGGCTGTGTCCCAGGGACCCTGTGTGTGGGGACCCCAGGGAAGGCCTCATTCCAGGCTCCGAATGGGAGAGACGTGCTAACGCCACGGTGGCCCAGCTGGCGCTGGGCTTGCAGGAGGCATACAACAGGAACCAGCCTCCAAGTCTGGATAACTCTTTTTTCCCTAACACACAGAATTAGGATCAGACTCCTGGTGGTAACTGCATTTCTATGGCTTCAGCCAGGACTGAGGCAAGGACAGAAAGAAAGGATGTAAGCTGGTGCGACATCTCTAAGGGCACTTCCTGGGTCTGAAAACCGGTAGGTGTTGGGAGCCTGGCAGATAAATACCAGGGTCACCCACCGCTGGGGATTTTGGCCCATGTGCCTAGAAGAACCAAGCGGCACTCGGCCAACCAAGAATGGAAGGAGCTTTATTTACGTCGGGGGTTCAGAGGAGTCACTCTCCAGTCTGAGCCCCGCAACAAAGGCAGGCAGGCAGTTTTACACACTGATTACTTCTGCATACCTGGCGGTCTTCTGTTTGGCACTCGCGGGAAGGGTGGGGTTCCAGGAACAAAGGAGGTGAGGTGAGTTCCTCCGGGACAGATTCCTTTACACCCCCCATCTCACCACAGGGACCGCCCGGCCCATCTGGGGTGGGGCGGCTACAAACACACTGCGGCCGCCCTCATGCTGGTGGCCTTGGCTCCCTACCCTTCCTTCGCTTCGGTTGGCAGAACTCTCCGCCCTGCCCAGCCCCGCTCGGGCCCCGTTCGCAACCCGTTCAGACATCTGGAAATCGGCTGGCTCCAGCTGCTCCGAATCTTGGACTGGAGATGGGGAAGTCATTGGCAAAGCATGGGGCCACCCCAGGAGGGTGGGCTCACGCACGGCCGCGGGGAGCAGGCACTGCGCAGGGCCGGCGAGCGAGCGCCAGGCGCGTGGCTGTCCCTGGCAGGAGTGGCAAGTCCCTCTGGCGCTCGCCTAGAAGAGCCAGCCAGGAGTGGTGGGCACAGCCGCTCTCACTATCCGCTATTTAAGCCACAAAGGAGCCGCATCTCAGAAACCGGATGTTGTCAGGCCCGGTCGCCCAGCCCGCCAGCTTCCAAGATGGCGGCTGCGTCGTGCCGATAGGCGAGAAGCGGCGCGCGGCGGTACTTCCGCCCGGCCCTCTTCCCAGGGTCCGCAGCGGGTAAGATGGCGGCGCTGCGGGTTCTGCGCGGCCTGCGGGGCGTTGCGGCCCAGGGGCTGCGGCCAGGGGCTGGGGGCCGGCTGCCGATTCAGCCTAGCAGGTGAGACCCGGGGCAGCCCTCGATGCGCTGTCCCCGAAGCTGGCGACTCCACGGGCCCTGTGACCCCCTAGGGAAGAATGACCCGGGCCTGTGACCTCTCGCCCAGGCGTGCTGTCTCGGGCTCCAGGTGCAGTGGCGCCAGCTCGGGCCGAGGAAGGAGGGTCTTGAGCTCTTTCGGCCAGGAGTGAGAGCAGGTGGGGGTCCAGCCCCCGAATGTTAGCGATCGCGTCACCCTCCGCTTCTGCTCTGCTGCTTCTCCCGAACCCCGCCACGGGTAGGGGGCGGCTGGTGAAGCGTCTCCTTGGAGACTGCGGGAAGAGGAAAGCCCCCTGACGGAGCTGGAGAAGGAACACAAAGACCGACCCCGGGTTGGCTCCGATGCTCCTCCCTGGTCCTTGAGCCGAGCCAGGGAGCCAGTGTGTGCTCCCTTTCTGTCTTCAGTTGACCTTGAACAGACACCTTTCTCGCGTTCATATTCACCAGGACGGGAATATGAATGTGATGGGTATTTGAAGGAGCCAGGATCCCAGTCTTGCATGCCCAGGGGCGACGGGTGAAGTGCTTCTGGGAGTACCTTAGTAGGAGTGGAACCTGTAGAGTTTCAGCTTGTTCTGCCGAAGCTAATCTTACTCTGTCTTAGCGGCTTGGCATTGAGGAACCACCCTTCCCGGTGTCTGCTCACCTGAGAGTGAATGGGAAGGGGAGCCGAGTACTGTAAAGCCCTGGGTCTGGCATCTGTCTTTGACTCCCTAGAGGTGCTCGGCAATGGCAGCCAGATGTGGAATGGGCAGAGCAGTTTGGGGGAGCTGTCATGTACCCCACCAAGGAAACAGCCCACTGGAAACCTCCACCTTGGAATGGTGAGTGTCCAGGGCCCCATCCCAAGCAGACTTATTTTGTTATGTTTATTTATATTTATATTTGTATACACACAATTTGCATTTCAATAATTATTTTTTTAAATTTTATTATTAATTTCAAGTACATAATACATTGGTTAGACATTTATATAGTTTATAAAACGATCCCCTAATTGCTCTTTCCTCTGGCTCCACTTAG